TGGATGGGATCTGGGTGTGGGCGTGTGCGGGTGTGGATGTGGGTGGGCGCTGGTGTGGGTGTGTGGGCGTGGATGTGGATTTGGGTGTGGGTGTGGGTGGGTTTGGGTGTGGGTGGGTTTGGGTGTGGGTGTGGTTGTGGGCGTGGGTGTGGGTGTGGATGTGGGTGGGTTTGGGTGTGGGTGTGGTAGTGGGTGTGGGTGTGGGTTTGGGTGTGGGTGTGGGTGTGGGTGTGGGTGTGGGTGTGGGTGTGAATCTTGTCTTCGAGGACACCCAGACTCACACCCCACAACCACCCCCACACACGGCCATAGCCGCACCCACATCAACCCACACCCACACCCACACACCCACACCCCACGCCCACACCCACACCCCACACCCACACCCACACCCACGCCCACACCCACCCACACCCACACCCACACCCAAACAGTAAATTATCTATTTGATTTAATATGTTTTAGAGAATAATACTTTTTCAAATGTTTGATAAAAACAGAATTTATGATTATGAAGAAGATATAAAAAGAAAAGAAAACAAAACAAAAAGATATAAAAATTCAGTTAAGGTTTATAGAAAGCATTTATAGAAAAATAAGTTCGATGTAGAAAAGCAATACGTGCGTACTGATCTCTTTTGAATTTTTCTTTCTGTATAACTTAAATTATAAATATTCTTCTTTGAAGATATTTAATTTAAGTAATGCAGCATATATGGACAAAGATAACATTGGGATGTGGGTGTGGGTGGGTATGGGTGTGAATGTGAGTGTGGGTGGGTGTGGGCATAGGTATGGGTATGAGAATAAGACTCACATCCACATCCACACCCTGAACTTGGAAAGGAGAAAAAAATGTTCTAACGAAGCATTGAACATATTGATTAGTTTTAAGCACTCGATTCAGAAGCAATAGGGCGAATAATCAAGTACATTTTTGCGTTTTAAGCTTGTACCTTGGAAGAAAATCGGTGATGAAGATGACGAAGTAGTGTCATGAGAAGAGTTAGTACAATAATTTGTGAGCCATAGACAATTATACGAATGATTATTTCGTTTTTTCGCATCATGTCGGGTATCGGATGCAAACCATCTTTGATTACTGTAGAGAATGGATCATATTCATCTCCAAATAGCCATCTTGTTATGCGATAATAAAGCCGAATGGGGATGAACACGCGGTGAAGAACTTCATGCGAGGGTCCAATACTAAAGAAATCGAAAGCATTCACGTATAATGTATCAAAAGAAAATTCTTTTCTGATAAAATCTTTCAGTGTAAACTTAATGAATTATTTCCTTCGATAAGTATTTGGCTGTGTTACTGCTAGAGTGAGACAATGTGTATGGATCTGCGTGCGGATGCAGGTGGTATCAGTGCGATATTATGAAGTACTAGACACCTACACCCGCACCATAATCATTACATAACTTACCATATCGATGAGATTGAAAAAGGACAAAGAAAGAGCAATAATTTAATAAACACAATTCGTAATATTATTCGACACTTACCTATCAACGTAGACTGAGGTTGAGATATTGTTGACCATCAGAGTGCCAGTAAGTGTCAACGGAGAATAGAAACCTATGCGAAGCATAGTGTCGATTTTTCGAATTGATATTGTACCACCAGGCACGACTAAGAGATGGTCTAGTGTGACCTTTGAAGCACGTATATAGCTTGTTTTTCTTTTTCCAGGAGCTACGACCGCGATATTATGCGAGCCTGTTAAGCTGAGTGAATTACCGTCACTGGTCATGAACACATAAAAGAGACCTAAATACAGAGTTTGATGTTAGTGTGAAGTCAAATGATCTCTGCAGAGACTTGATCGATTTCGTCCAGCATCCATCATAAGGATCATCTCATCTTCAACAAGTCGGTTTCCATCATCACTTAACGACCAAATACGATCACCCACCTGAAGTTGATTGATTCGACGGCGACCATCACCAACGACATTGATGTAGTCTTCACCGAAGTAACAGCCACCTGCAATCATAGTACTGACGAGCAGTTTTTTATTTTTGAACTAATATTACTTAACATGATAACTCTACGAATTTTTACTCACATCAATCGAGTAGGACATTCGATCTATTATTTCAGTATGGGTTCTGAGAGAAAACTTTTTATACGATGGAATTTTTAGAACACAACATACATCTGATGGAAGACATCAATTAACACTCACCCTCACAGACACAATCATAGTCTTACTGTTTAATTACAGCCTTTCCACAAAACATACCATTTTACAAAAAACTCTAACTACTGCAAAATGAATGTGGTTCTGAATGCTTCGTTCAAAAAGCTATATGTAAAGGCATTTTATGTCATGAAGAACAATTTGGTGTAAATCGAAGAGAAGCAATATATCATTTCACAAGCTTGAAGAATGAGGAATGCAACTACTGCAGTTACTTTTGGGGAGAATGGGCACACATGCACGTCAATGGAGTTATAATTAGACGCTGCCATTCCTATGTACACTGCAGTGTGCCAGGATCGCCATCTATTATAGATGGACGATCCTCCCCATTCTCTCTCATATATACATATACACAAATATATATCTATATATAGAAGTGTAATTCAGATGTGTGTGTGTGTGTTTACCGATATGAGTGGGCTGTTCATGATATAGATATTGAACCAAGATTTAGGTTCTTTTATATTATTTCCAATAAAGGAACTTCGGAACCTAGCACTAGTTTATGATCATTTTATTTTGTGAAACACGATCGAAAATGAGAAGTCAAAGTATATGGCAAGAAACTTGGACTCGTAATACCTCCGTACACTATGACAGACAGACTGACAGTCTGCAGTTTTGTATCCCAGAATGTATATTCTAAAATAAATATTAAAATAATTATTCAAAATGACATTTTCCCCCGAATGTGTCACAAATCTACAGAACGGTAAATAATTCATTTTGTCTGTCTGACTGAAACACGGTTTTAAACCACTGTTTATATGAATATGAATCATTTTTTTATTTTTTGTCTCAATTTTTGTAACTCTTTTATTTCTTATTCACAAGACCAGAAAGTCACGGATCTAGAGAGTTAATTTTAAAAAAGTCTATCTGTGTATGCATATGGAGGTGAGTCTCTAATTCGTTTATGAAAGCATTCTCTCTCTGGTCTTATGGGATTTTTTTATATTTTCCGTTTTGGATTTTTCTATCAATTGAACTATTCGATCTTTTCTAGGGCTCAATTTTCAATGGTTACTTTTATTATCTGCGAAAAATAAACCAGAATTTCATGAAAAATGACTGAAATATTGATGGCTTTTTTCTTTAGGCACATATAGTGTAACAGATGTCGAAGCTAGGAGAAAATGAAATCTTCATGTTCTTTGGATTTTTTTCAACCTTTTTAGAAAAGATGGACTTCTACATTTTCTATTTTTTTGACTTTTCTATCATAATACTTCAAAATCTTTTCAGCTCACATTCACTCGTTTACCAGCTCAAATAGTCTTCATACTCAAAGTCCCTGAAGATCGCATTTTTTCCTTGAAATATACTTCACAAGTCTCGTTGTAGATGTGGGTGTCAGTCTTATCTACATCCGTACTTACACCCACACCCTCATTACTTTGATTACGTCTTAACCTGTTTTGATCCCTAAGAGCAAGGTGGAGAAGGAATATGAGGAGTTGTGTGGATCGTGAAGAAGCACTCAAGGAGGGCTGATGAAAAATGACTACTTGAAAAAAATCGGTGATCAAAAGTACTTTTTCTCTTTTATCTTATATTGTAAGAACAGAATAGGCGTTGTTTGGACTGATCAGGGATTCGCAGGAGTGCTCTTTTATATGACGTCAACAACGCTGTGATGAGTCCGTATTGGGGTAAAAAATAGAAATTAAATGATATTTTCCTAACACAATCACTTGAACTTAATTTTAAATGAATTAAGTGTTAAGTAATAAAACTTAACTTAATTTGATGTTAAGTTAAATGATCCACATCTATTCAGAAGATCAATTTATAAACCTAGAAAATTTTACTTTCTCATGAGCTACCTATTCATAAGATGATAGAAACTTGTTGGAACCATGCAACTAACACGTGTTCGCCTACTGTTTGTTGTTGTGTGACAACACAAACCATATACAAAGAAAAGCAGCTTTTCGTTTTGACTGAATAGATTTCATCAACAGTTTCTTAGTTGATCCTACAAATCCGTTCCATGTAATCGAATTTTTCAAAATTCTACCCGAGCCTTACTTATTCTAGGATAAGACCAGTTTGAGTTTCTGTATACTAGTTGAAGACTTATTTATATACCCAATAGTTTCATTAAAGAATAGTAATAACTGCATAAATTCTCCAACTTTTTTAATCAATATTTTCAATTGAACGTTGGTTTGCTTATTAAAGATCTATCTTTTCTATTACCTCGAAACCTACATCATCTTCTAATGGAAAGGTAGTGTTCGTTCAATCGAAATATCTGTCTGAATTTTAAAAAACTAAAAACTATCTAAAATGAGAGAAAGCGATCGAAGAACTACAGCCACATAATTTTCTCTCGACTGCGCATGATTACACGATCTTCGTTTCGTGGCATAACGTGTCTCTATTTTTCGAGATATTCTAAGTGCCAATTTGACTTATTTCAACGATCTTTGTGTATGCATAATTCAACAATTTTCAAATATTCAAAATTTTTTGATGCTGTAGGAACCAGTATTTTACTATTTAACCTATTACTTACCGCTTGCTGCAGTCGTTGTTGCTGTTGTTATAGTAGTAGTTGTTGCTGTGGTTGTAGTGGTTGTTGTTATTGTAGTCGTTGTAGTCGTTGTAGCCGTTGTTGTAGTCGTTGTTGTTGTTGTGGTTGTAGTGGTTGTTGTTGTTGTAGTCGTTGTAGTCGTTGTTGTAGTCGTTGTTGTTGTTGTAGTTGTAGTGGTTGTTGTCGTTGTTGTAGTAGTTGTCGTTGTCGTGGTAGTAGTTGCTGTCGTACTGGTTGTAGACACTAGTGCAGTGACAAGTTCAATCGCTCTTACGAAATGAAGCACATCAAAGCAACACAAATTGTTGCGTGCTCGCTCAAGTTCGAATGATTAGAAAAGGGGGTCAGTTTCATTAAAACTATCGTGCATGCAGACTAAAAGCTAGGCCTAGAACAGTTCCCAGTTCTATGAACTGCATATTTTCCAAGAACTGGGTGAAGTGACCAGTTCCTTTTTGGGAACTATGTGTTGGGGTACTTCTATTTTTATAACTTGCCCTAGGGACTAGTTCGTCTTTTGAGAATTGGATCCTTCTGTTCTAGCATTGAGTTTCCTTTAGCTGCATTCCAGCATATTTGTGCAGTTGACAAGCATGTTTCAGAATGGACCAATTACAAATCTATTGGAAAGTGTGAAATGAGATGTCTGATAGAATCAACTCATTCAAAAATAACTGCCATATAGATCAGTGCATATCAAAGAACTATTGAGACCGAACAATTCCTATTAGGTGTGTGACAGAACCAGCTTGACAACTCGCGACAGTTGCATCAGACAGCGGGTTAAGAGCTCCTTGGAGCTATAGCTGCTCAACGGGTTATCAACGACTACTTATAGTGATACCCTTAGGCCATTGAGGGTTACTCTATGGGGGTAACCTTAGTTGGTCGACAACTTTTTCTATTGGCCAATCAGGTTCGAGTGAGTTCTTTCTCCAATATTGTAAGAACAATGCGTACTTTTATTCAGGTCATAAGAAAGAGGGCCATAGATAACCCCTTGATCCGTCCGAACAATACTATACTTTCCCCTACAATTGCGGAGAAAGCGCTTCCTGAAATGTGATTGGTTGTTTGAGGACCAATCAGATTTCAGTGCGGTGTTTTCGCTCTATTGTAAGAACAAAACATAATGTTCTTCGAACCGATCAGGGGATTGTCCGTGGTTTTCTTTCTTATGGCCCGAATAACAGGATGCTTTGTCCTTACAATACCAGAGAAACAGCTCCTTTGAATATGATTGATCGTTAGAAAAAGCTCTCGACCAACTAAGGATACTCTGTGAGGACCTAGGGGTACCTCCATATGAGAGCTCTTGAAGACCTAAGAATATCCTTATCGCATAGTCCTTGAAGACCTAAGGGTACCTCCGTATGGTAGCCCTTGAGGACTTATGGACATCCGTAGCATAGCTGTTATGAAAAGAACTGTTAATGACATATCAGTTCCTATCAAAGAACTGTTGGGACAGTTCTCAAGGGTAACTTCCATTTTTGCCGACGTTCACTTTCACCGAATGGCATTTTCGCCGAATCCAATATCGCCGACTAATTTTTTTGACCGAAAATTATCGGGTCAAATATGATTCATTATATATTCAAATTTTTTTTCCAATTCATGAGTTTATTAACCAATTCATTAATTGGAAAAAAAATTGGTAACCATCTCAGTTGATTACAATCTGAAATGCTTACCACCTTAGTTGGCTACCATCATACTTGAGTGTGGGTACAGGCATGAGGGTGGAGTGTGACTGTAAGTATAGGTGTAGGACAGGGGCGGCGGAACGTTTTGAATTTGGATGAGGCTCAGTCAAGGACATGGTCAATGGTAGGGGCGTGCAGGAGGTGCTGGTCAATTTTCTCACTTCCAAAAATGTTCAGCTTTTTACAACCAAAATTGTATTTTTTTAATGAAAAAAACATCGCAGAATAGAAAAATAAATTTCAGCACTGCTCTACTTTTTCCTCTTCATTATATCCCTGTGCTCAATGAAAGTTTATTTGTTATGATAAAGCAAGTTCTCAAATAGCAGTATGAGCTGGGTCGACGAATTGGGTGAGAAAAACTATTTCAGAATATTTAGCAGTGCTATTGTCACGAAAAAAAATTCATTCTACTATTGTTGAAAATAAAAATATCAAGAACAAAAATTAGAGAGATGTCGAAAAATACAAATGTTGAAAATGATAGTGTATGAAAGTAAGAATTCCGTCACTCTCATCCTCACTGTTAACCATCTATTTCTCTCTCATGTTTCTTTTCGATATTTTTATCTTCGGCATTTTTATCGTCGACATTTTTATCTTTCGACCAAAGTAGGGTAAACCGAAAAAAAACTGCTATATCATTCTATTCTTTGCTGATCAAACTTCTAAATCTTTAGAAAAAGACAAAAATTTTCCAACAAAATACAAAAACCAGGTATTGTACATTATAAATCAATTCAAAGAAAACATTTCTTGAGGATATGGTCGTGAAGGTTAGTGTACTATGAAGAAAGGAAAGGTGTTTTACTGAGCGAAGTTAGTTTCGTGCGCACTATGCCACAGAGCTTTAAAAAGTTTCGCACATAGTAGGGAACTTGAAAAGGATTCCGAAATTTACAAAGAAATCGAAACCCTTTTAAGTTTTGGCGGGAAAACTATAAAATCCAAAAAGAGGTTTCAAATTCGTTGCAAAAATGGTTTTATACGGAACCATATTGTTTTTAGGATGGGAAGATATTGCAGGTGTGCGTTTAGAGAAGAGATGACACCTACACATACACCGGTTGCGTGTGATGATTAAATTAAATTACTTGTATTTGGACATTTATCAGAATTATGAAGCAGTCTAGATTGATTTCCAGATTCTACATAGTTTTCTAGCAAGCTATTCATTTTCGACGAACTGAATGTATGAGAATCAATAGCAACTTATGTTACAGAGACGATGTTCGTATCTTTATCTCAAAAACTTGTTGAAAAATCAGTAAGCTCGATAAAGCAGTTTCTTCTGTTGAAAGAACCACTGTTTGACCTGTTATCTTTTCCGTGAAATAGTCAAGATTTGATCCAACAGATAGTTTTGGTGAAATTTATTGATTATAGTCGAAAATTTAGGACTGTTAAAACGCTGCAAAAAAGTATTCTTTATTCTATCAGTATTTATATAAACGCTAAATTACATTGTGATTAGCGAGGATAACATAATAAAATTCTATCACAGCGTTAGGATTATTTTTTCGAACGCATCCAAAAAATTAGAGAGCTAGATTTTCAAATACATTTAAAAATAAACTTCTTTCTGATTATGACTCTTTTGTTAATATTTTTCCCTGAATTTTAAATAATTATTTTGGTTGTATTTCATCCAATAAAATTTAAAAAAATGACTACATCAAAAAGGAGAAGATGGATCCTCATATATAGCTAGTTTTGGGGCTTATTGATCGCATGATACTAGAATTCATTTAGTTTACACGACACTTTATGTGAATAAGATAATTAAAAAACATTTTAATGAACCATGACAACACAGTTGGTGAGTTTACTATTACTTCAGTTTTTTAGACCTCTCCATCTCAGCATATAAACAAGCGTAATCGAGGTGCCAATTTCCACATTAAGAGGAGATTTGCCCATTAAAATAAAGCTAAGATGACGCGTGGCTAAGCTTCAACTTCATAATTTGAGTGAGAGAGAGCCTACAGGGGCCAAAATCGAGTGAGGCTCAAGCCTTACCCAGCCTACAGGCTCCGCCGCCTGTGGTGTAGGTATGTAGGAGTACATGTGAGTCTAGGTGTGAATGTGAGAGTGTAGATGTACATGTGGGTCTAGGTGTGAGGATGTTATTGGGATTGTGGGTGGGAATGTAGGTGTGTTCATCATCACCCTCGCAACCACGCTCACATCAGACGTGGTAACCAACTAAGATGGTAAGCAATTCACTTGGTTACCAACTCAGTTGATAATTAATGAGTTTGTTAATAAACTCATTAATTGGAAAAAAATTTTGAATATAGAATGAATCACATTTGGCCCGGTAATTTTCGGTCAAAAAAATTAGTTGGCGATATAGAAATCGGCGAAAGCGGACGCCAGCGAAAATGGAAGAATTCTTTTCAAAATCGTAACTGATATGGAACTGTCCTAGGGTACTAAAAACCCTAGTAAGTCAAGTTCTTCACATGGTATGCATACAGTGAACGATTTTCTGATTAAAACTATTTCTACATAATTTACAGTAAACAACAAAGTTTTTCTAGTCAATAGATGAGTAGGCTATGAATCAAGTTGTTGACCTATGTGTGGACGCCTAGCACAAAGCTTCCTTTGAAATATATACTATCGGGGCCAAATGAATTTCCCCCTTTGTTTTATTTTGTTTTTAATACTATAATTCGTCTATTTATTAATGCACTATATATAGCGAGAAAGCCCGGAGCATGCTGCTTCTTTTGATACATTTACGTTGATCATCAAACCCGGTTTAAAATATAAAAGCGTATTAGAAAAAAAAGTAACATGTTTTTTTTACTACAAAGTGTCCATAATATTGTAACAATTTTTATTTCACATATAGCTTGTCTGAGATAGAAGATAAAATCTTGAATTTTTTTCAAGAGATGCGCTGCGAAGCTCTATAAAACCTGAATGATTGAATTCCAGTTACCCTGTTCTAATGGTTTTCCTTATACTCAAAATGAACAACTTACATGATAATGTCACTTCTCATAATATTGAAAATGTTTGGAACACTGGTTGTTTTGCAGATATCTCGATCTGAGAAAATGATAGAATATTTAAGTTTTTTTAAAAAGGTGTGCCGTCGAAAGCTTTACAAAGCTTGTATGAACCAACTCATATAGTGAAACAAAAGTGTTTCAAACATTTTCAATATTATGGGAAGTGACATTGTCAGGTAAGTTGTTCATTTTGAGTATAAGAAAAACCATTAGAACAGGGTAACTGGAATTCAATCATTCAGGCTTTATAGAGATTTTCACAGCAGAGATATCCATCGCGGCGCTGCCGCGATGGCCTGTGGCGGCAGCGGCAGGTTTTTTAAAAGACCATCGCGGCAGCGGCGCGGCAGCGGCAGGATTTTTTTGGGTAACATTGAAAAACTGCATGAATTTAATAGAATTTCAGGGTTCACAAATGAAACACCCCGAGACTGAATGGATCTGATGGACTAGTACCAATATCTCTGGTCAAATATAGTCGCAGCAGTGAAATTAGAAACACTTTTTTGTAAACCGCCGCGGCAGCGGCGCGGCGACGGCACGTTTATTTTATAATTCATCGCGGCAGCGTCGCGGCAACATTTTTTTATAAACCGTCGCGGCGCGGCTGCGGTGCGACAGCTTTTTTTTTCTAAGACCGCGGCGCGGCAGCGGCACATTTTCAGCGGCGATGGACATCTCTGTTTCACAGCGCATTTTTTGAAAAAAATTCAAGATTTTTTCTTCTATCTAAGACAAGCTATATGTGAAATAAAAAATGTTACAGTATTATGGACACTTTGTAGTAAACAAGATGTCATTTTTGTTTCTCACACATTTTTTACGCTTTAGACTACATATGATGATTAACGTAAATATATAGAAAGACGCAGCGACTTTCGATCTTTCTCGCTATATATAGTAGATCAATAAATAAACGAAGTATAAGAATAAAAACAAAAAGAAACACAAGGGAAAATTCAATTGGCCTCGATAGTATTTTTCTTCAAAAATCGACATCATTCCAATCGGGATAGATGTTTTCAAGATAATTTGAGTCTCTGCATCAACCTACCCAGGCATCCAAAAGGAAAAAGGAAGATAAATTTTGAAAAGATATCATTTTGTGTCTGATTTCAATCCTCTCAAAGTTTGGAATTAATCTTATCATACTAGTGCTTGTACCTAATGTTTGCTTTGTAAATCCAGCAAGAATTCCATAAGCAGCAAGTGCAAGAACTGAAAAAGTGAATGCAATAATGAGTGGCACCATGAAAGTAAACCACGGACACGGATTGATTGTAATCCTGGTAGCATCCTTCTTCAAATTCCTAAGACAAAAAAATTGCTTGTACAGTTAGAAAATGATAGCTGAGAAAACGTTTCGCAGCCTTAATCTATAGATAAATCTAGATTTATACTATCAATATCACTAACTGGAGAAAGTTCTTGGGTAATGGTTCATTCTGCTTCGATACTGTTAATATTGTAGGCATTGAATGACAATCCACAGATATCTTCGTTAGTTGAGATGGACTCACTCGCGAAACGAAAGAATGATTCTTCTGTTTTCGCTTCACAGACCAAGGTTTCACCTATGAAATAAAATATTTTACTTTTTTGGAATAGTTCCTTCAGAAAAAAATTTAATCAACATTTCAATAATACAATGAAAACTATAAATACCTCCAATGGCTTTCCAAGTGACGTGTTATTTAGGGAACGAATCATTCGAATGCGTTAAAGAGATATATCTAGAAAATATTCCAAATGTTTATAATATTAGTTGAAAACAAAGAAAGATTCGATGATGTCAAAATATTCTCTTCCGTTAACTATTTTCTCCACTCGAATGTTTCAAGTAGTTTCATGTGGCATGTATTTATAATGACGACAAACCCTTTTTAATATCATAGAAGTGACAGCGTTGCCACCTTTTCAGTCATTCTCACAGCTCATTTTCTCTAGATAGAATATATGATGAGTTTTATTATTCAAAACAATTGCAATGTTTACATCTCATAATATACGTAGATATGCAAATTCCTACTTATAGCAAAGCAAACGAAGAGAATGGCAATCTATTGAATTTTTTTGTATACGAATTTGTTTAAACAAGCCTCATACTCCTAATGCAAAATGCGTCTCTACTATCAATGGCTTCATATTTCTTTATCGAAGCCTTGCATTATTTCATCTACTGAAAGGAGCGTCATACATTGAGTGAACTGTCTTCGTTCGTTCGTACGTTCGTTCGTACTCCAAGTCAAGACGAACGTCGGGTGTGGGTGTGGCTGGGTGTGGGTGTGGGTGTTGGTGTGGGTGTGGGTGTGGGTTGGTGTGGGTGTGGGTTGGTGTGGGTTGGTGTGGGTGTGGGTGTGGGTGGGTGTGGGTGTGT